CAAACACCACCAACACTACCACCACCACCACCACCACCACCACCACCTTAATTCAATATCTTACCTATTTTCTCCTTGACTCTTTAGATGGCTCCAGCAGTGATCTCTTTGCCATGATTGTATTCTACACACTGCTACCAGTATAACCTTCAAAATGCACTGCTATGGCCATGCTATTCTCCTCAAGGAAAAGAAAACAGTGACTGAATATTATCTATTAGAAAAAGTATAATTAGTGATCCTAGTATTGAAGGACCTCCACAATCTTCTCCAGCCAAGCTGTCTAGCCTAATCTGATGCTGAATTCCTTTCCATATTCTATATTTCAGTCAAACTGGTCTATTCCTTATCTTCTGCCCTCATCCTGTCATGTCTAATTGCTGTGCCTTTATTCAAGCTGTCCACTAAGTCTGGACAAGACTACTCCATGTCTTCATCAGATGGATCCCCTCCCTTCATGTTAAGCCCAGCTCCCAAGACATCTCCTCTTGAAGCCTTTTCTGTACCTCCAGATGACACTGTCCTTTTCTTCCCAAAATTCCTCATAATATTTTTCCTGGGCCTCTCCTTTGCATTTTTCTAATACTTTCCTGTGTCGTAGTCATTTGTGTAACTACCTCCCCTCCCTGTTTTTTTTTGGAACAGGTTATTCCCCTATGCTTACAATCCACTATATCTCTCCTATGCCTCTCAGAATCCCTACTTTCAAAACTCAGCTCAAGAAGGACACTCTATGGGAGGTCTTTTCTAATCCTCCCACCTACTTCAGGCCTCTCCAAATTATATTTTACTTATTTTGTTTATACTTATTTTGCATATACTTCTAGTTGCACATATTGTCTTCCATGGTAGAATATAAACTCCTTTGAAGCAGAAACTATTTTATTTTTGTCTTCATAGTCTAAGTTCCTAGCAAAGTTCCTGGCATACAGTAGGTATTTAATAAATGCTTGTTTATTGAATCATTTCCCTATTTAGACTGTAAGGTACTTAGGAGTAAGATCTATGCCATTTTGTCTTTTTATGTTCAAAACCTTGCAGAATTCCTTGTGTGTAGTATATTTAATGAAGGATTGTTAGCTTGGCTTGGCTTGATGATATGAAGGGAAAGATAGAAGATTAAAATGAAAGAGTAATATGTCAAAGTGGATCTTGCAAGTGGAACAATTAAGAGATGGCTCTGTGTGTGTGTGTGTGTGTGTGTGTGTGTGTGTGTGTGCGTGTGTGTGATTAGGATAGAGAAAGAAGTAAGTTGTTGGAATTATATGATCAGCTTCTAGGGGCTGACCTACATGACCTTTAAATCTATGATCCTACAATATAATTGACATGTGTCATTTCCCTACATGCTTCTTTCAACCTGGAAAAAAATAACTATGAGATTAACTTCTAGTCACTGTTACCCTCATTCTAAATCTCTCCCTTCTTAGACATAAGTGGGTAAGACTCTCCAAAGGTCATTTATATTCTTTTTTTGAATCTAGGTAGAACCACAGACAAAAGACATATAAGGTTTTCTCCTTTTAGAAGCATATGAATTTTTTTTACTAACATCAACAATTTAACAACATTAAATGTCAAACATTAAAATCAGAGGTTACTAGCATACAAAATTTGCATCTTCCACCAAATGACACATTTTAATGGGTTGAAGGAAAGTGATAGCAAAGCTCTGAAGAGAGGATGGGAGATGCTGGAAAATATGTGACAATAAGACTGTTTATTGTAGTCTTTCATATACTTATTTTACCTCTGAAACCATTGCTTTCAATTCATGAAATTTATTTTTTTGTTCCAAACACAGCAGATCAAACTCTTTGAATTACGATCTAGAATATGGATTTAGAGCTAGAAGGGACTTTAGAGGACATCTAGTCTAAACTTCTCATTTCACAAGATAAGGAAATGGATAGCCAGATAATTTAAATGCTTCCTCAAGGCCACAAATCTAATACAGTTTCTATTGCACAAAACTAATTCCAATATCCAGGTAAGAGAAAACCCAAAGCAAAGAATGGCAGGTAAGGGGGAATATTAGAATAATTAGAATGATCAGACACAATTGAATAACAATTGTAAAGGCTTCTTGGAAGCTTTCAGGGAAGTGGGTTGGTGGAGAGGAAAAGAACCTTAAAGATGGCAAGGCAATAAAGATGATTTTTCACCCAGTTGCTGAAATTTAGAGGGCTCAAAATTTTTAAATAATTATTTAAAATGCAATTTAAAATGTTTCAATTATATTTTGGGAAAAACTTGTACTCTTATTTATTTTTCATTTTTAAATATTCATCATTTATTTATTAATTTATTTTAATTTATCAACAATCACTTTCATAAGTTCTTGATTTTTAAATTTTTCTAGCCCGACCCCGCTTCCCACCTCCCTCCCCAAGATGGTGCACAATCCGATATAGGTTATCCATATACATTCCTATTTTCATATTAGTCATGTAGTAAGGAAGAATTAGAACCAATAGAAGGAACCACAAGAAAGAGGAAACAAAACAAAACAGAAGAAAAAAAAGAGCAAATAGTATGCTTCAGTCTGCATTCAAATTCCACAGTTCTTTCTTTGGATGTAGACAGCATTTTCCATTGTTAGACTTTTGGAGATGTCTTAGATCCTTGAATTGTGGAGAAGGACTAAGTCTATCCAAGTTAGTCATCGCATAACGTGGCTGTTACTGTGTATAACATTCTCTTGGTTCTGCTCACTTCACTCAGTATCAGTCCATACAAGTCTTTCCAGGTTTTTCTGAAACCTGCCTGCTCATAATTTCTTATAGCACAATAGTATTCCATTGCATTCTTATACCATAATTTGTTCAGCCATTCCTCAATTGATGGACATCCCCTCAATTTCCAATTCTTTGCCACTACAAACAGAGCTGCTATAAATATTTTTGTACATATGAGTCCTTTTCCATTTTTATGATCTCTTGGGGATACAGCCCTAGAAGTGCTGTTGCTGGGTCAAAGAGTATAGCCCTTTGGGCATAGTTCCAAATTGTTCTCCAAAGTGGTTGGATCATTTCACAACTTCACCAACAATGCATTAGTGTTCCAATTTTCCCACATCTTCTCCAACATTTATTATTTTCCTGTTTTATCATGTTGTCCAATCTGATAGGTAGTGATGTGGTACCTCAGAGTTGTTTTGATTTGCATTTCTCTAATCAATAGTGATTTAGAGCATTTTTTCATATGACTGTAGATGGATTTAATTTCTTCATCTGAGAACTGCCTGTTCATATCCTTTCACCATTTATCAACTGGGGAATGACTTGCATTCTTATAAATTTGACTTAGTTCTCTATATATTTTAGAAGGGAGGCCCTTATCAGAGATGCTTTTGTAAAAATTCTTTCCCAGCTTTCTGCTTCCTTCCTAATCTTGATTGTATTGGCTTTGTTTGTGCAAAGCTTTTCAATTTAATGTAACCAAAATCATCTATTTTGCATTTCATAATGTTCTCTATCTCTTGTTTGGTCATGAATTCTTCTGTTCTCCATGAATCTGACAGGGAAATTATTCCTTGTGTCCCAATTTGCTTACAGTATCAGCCTTTGTATCTAAATCATGAACCCATTTTGACTTTATTTTGGTATATGATGTGAGATTTTGGTCTATGCCTAGTTTCTGCCATACTGCCATACTCTTTTCCAGTTTTCCCAGCAGTTTTTGTCAAATAGTGAGTTCTTATCCCAGAAGCTGAGGTCTTTGGGTTTCTCAAATAGTAGATTACTATAGTCATTGACTATTGTGTCTTGCATACCTAACCTATTCCACTGATCCACCTCTCTATTTCTTAGCCAGTAACAAGTAGTTTTGATGATTGCTGCTTTATAATACAATTTAAAATCTGGAATGGCTAGGCCACCTTTCCCTGCATTTCTTTTCATTAGTTCCCTTGATATTCTGGACCTTTTGTTATTCTAAATAAATCTTGTTATTATTTTTTCTAGCTCTATAAAATAATCTTTTGGTAGTTTGATTGGTTTGTCACTGAATAAACAAATCAGCTTAGGTAGAATTATCATTTTCATCACACTAGCTTGGTATACTCATGAGCAACTGATGTTTTTCTAGATCTAAATAATCTGACTTTATTTGTGTGAAAAGTGTTTTGTAATTGTGTTCATTTAGTTCCTGGGTTGCTTGTACTCTTTTAGCTGCATAGAAATAACTTAACAGCAAGAAGAATTAGTAAAACTAGAAAGCTATTAGATAGTTTGCTGAATCTCCTGGTGACTTCACCCCAGTAGAATGCATGTTAAACTCAGCCTGACACTTCCAAGTCACTCCATTGCTACAACTTCCCTAGCACTGGACTAATATTAGTAACAAACAAATATTATATTAAAACAAATAATAATATTGTAAACAAAAATAATATTAATAACAAACAAAATAATTGTCCTAGGGTTTTTGTTTCCATTAAAAGAGTGGTAAATGATGAAGTTGCTCCATAGTATACCATAGGGCATGGGAACTATTCTCCAACCCCACAGGGTTTGGCTTTGAAATCTATTCTCCTACTCAAATGAATATGATTGTGTTATTTTGATTTGAATGTGCATTCCATGCTATTTTGCCTAGGCAGCAAGATAGCTAGTTATCACCTTGACAAAGAGAGGTCAAAGGAATTTAGACTGGGGAACTGGCATATAAATGGACTGAGGTAAGGATGCCTTGAATTTAATTCAGTGCTTGGCCAAAGGAGAAGTATTGATAAGAAGGATACATCCAAATGCACAATGAGAGGCTGAGTTACCAGGAGTCTATATTTGAGTTTTGTCAGATTACAATGAAAGTGGATTTGAATGTCCCAAATCCTCTGAATGTGATTCTTAACACATAACCAGATTGAAAAAAATGAGAGATTTTTCCATTCTTGTCCACTACAATCATCCATAACTGATTTCCCTGAAATACTAATCCTCCCCTTCTCTTTCTGGGCAGGCAGCAGCCACCATTGAAGAATATAACATGCTATCCTCATGCCCATCATGTCCAACTTCAATAGCTCCAGCCTGACTCCCACATTCTTCATTCTGAATGGAGTTCCTGGGTTGGAAGCATCTCACATATGGATCTCCTTCCCATTCTGCTCCATGTACCTCATTGCTGTTTTGGGGAATAGTGGACTCCTGTATTTAATTCACCATGAGGAATCCCTGCACCGGCCTATGTATTACTTTTTGGCTCTACTCTCCTTTACCGATGTTGCTCTCTGCACCACAACTGTACCCAATATGCTTTGTATCTTCTGGTTCAACCTCAAGGAGATCACCTTTAATGCTTGCCTGGTCCAGATGTTCTTTGTTCATATGTTGACTGGGATGGAATCTGGTGTACTTATGCTCATGGCCCTGGACCGCTATGTCGCCATCTGCTATCCCCTACGCTACACTACCATCCTCACCAATTCTGTCATTGCCAAGGCTGGGTTCGTCACCTTCTTGAGGTGTGTGATGCTCATTATTCCCTTTACATTCCTCTCCAAGAGGCTGCCCTACTGCCGAGGAAACATCATCCCTCACACTTACTGTGACCACATGTCTGTAGCTAAGGTGTCCTGTGGGAATGTCAAAGTCAATGCTATCTATGGTCTGATGGTTGCTCTACTAATAGGTGTGTTTGATATATGCTGCATCTCTGCGTCTTATACCATGATTCTCCAAGCTGTGGTGAGCCTCTCCTCTGCAGATGCCCGACACAAAGCCTTTAGCACCTGCACATCTCACATCTGTGCTATAGT